GCGCAAAATTCTGTGTTGGTTCTGGAAATGGTTGTGTTGAATTCAGAATGAAATTCTGCATCGAATAATGTTAAATTTGTATGGGGTCCTCGACCAAAGTTCTTCGACTTGGGTGGGGCTGGAATATAGATTTGGAGGGATGACTTGGGTGAGACCAGAAATATTTTGATCGATGATCCCATACAAGTTTAGCATCATTCGATGCAGAATTTCATTCTGAATTTAACACAACCATTTTCAGATTCAACACAGCTAAAGCAGCGAATCCTGGCTGAAATTACTTCTACAAGATTTTCAGAAAAAGCAGTAGTTCCAGGTAAAGTGCCAGCTTTTGATCGGCAACCCCCTTCTAAAATTACACCATTCGATTCAGCGCAAAATTTTGCATCCAACACAACGAAAGTGAAATTCAACACAACCATATAGGTGAATCCAGGCTGGAAAAGCTCGAATCGTGTGCTAACTTCCCTAACGTGTACAATTCTTAATTATGTTCTCAAATCATCTCCAAACATTGATGATATGCAAAATGTTTTCAATATTACTGAACAAGGTTCATTTATTCTGGTTGTTAAAAATCCAAAACTGAACAATTCATCTCAGATGGATCCTAATAAATCTGAAAAAGTTGAATTGCTTCAAAAAGTTCAAAAAATGTTTGGCTCGTATTTATGGTCGCCAGGTTTATACGAACTTTTCTTCTTGGGAAGAAAGATTTATTCAATTCATTTTAGCTCAGCCTGAAATGCTCGACATTACTGGCTGCAAATTGATCTGGATTCATTCGTCAATTGATGATTTTGAAGCACTATTACATCAACGAGGCGATGAAATAGAAGAATCTTATGCTGAAATGACAACAGCTGATGTTATAAAATATAGTGAATTAGATGAAAAATAACATATCATGCATTAATTATTTGATACACAAGAAAAAAACTAGGTATTAAACAACTCAAAAATTATTTCATAGTTAAAACAGTTGTTACATGTATATTGTGTATCAAATGTTAATCTTTTTTTTTAAATATATTCAACAACTTTGGAACAGGTATCTAATGATTGATTGACATAGTGTATGTCTCACTCGACAGATGATATTATAATTTATGAAAGACAAACATGCTATTTGATAAATAAATATTTCAAGTCTATGAGCACAAAATAATGAGTCATCAAATGTATGTTGAATGCACTACGATGGAGGACATGTGGTGTGGGTGAAAGAATCAGATGAAAAAAAATCTCATTCTAAGACATTTCTCATATATTTTCTTTTCTCAAAAAAGGAGTTTCATACCGATCGCTTTGCTACGGTACATGATAACCAATGAATGTTGAAAATTGTTAGACGGAAAGAAAAATAACATTATATTCTTGATCGTCTAAAGTCATCACATTTTTTTTTGTTCTACAAACAAAGGCAACGAGGAAATAAGCATGTACTATATTGAACAAAATCAATAGACGTGCATAATAGTTGACCATGAACACTTCGCCGAACAAGGATATCAATATTTTCGATTTACCCAATGAAATATTAGTTATAATTTTCAATAAATTGAATATGATAGATGCACTCTATTCATTAGTAGATGTCAATGAACGATTTAATCGATTAGTATTTGATCGTCTTTATATTCATAATCTTGATTTAACTGTAAAATCATCATCTAATTATATATCTTCAATCAATAATCAAATGCTTGATGAAGTTTGTGAAAAAATCTTACCTCGTATTTATCATCAAGTAAACAAACTCACTGTTGAACCACATTCAATCGAACGTCTTCTTTTTACTACTGGTTATCCTCAACTTGATTCGTTATCATTTATTAATTTTCAAAAAGAAACATTTCATCAATATTTAACAGGTAGACAATTTCATTTTATTCATGTTAATCAGTCAAACGTATCTTATTACGCAGGATATGATGATTATATATGTTCCTGAGTACATTTTGATTGTGAACATTTTTTTCAATTGGCCATAATATAGTGTACAAACAAGATCTTATACAAAGAAAAATCAATAATGAAAGAAATTTGAATATCTATTTAATTTAACTATTGTTAGATTGATAATTACGATTATCCTTGTCAGCTATAGTAAGTTTGATGATCTCTCTATGACAAAGAGAACAATCAGTTGTTTACCATCGATATTCAAGAGTTCTTTTAAATATCAATGTTTTGTTTGAATTTAAATATGAAAATTTACTGATTCTATTCGAGAATATGACGGCGTTGTTGTGTTTGTTTTTCCTCAAATTAAATCATTATTAATTCTTTTAAATCCTAAATATATGTGATCGAAGGCAAATGCTTCGAAAAAACATTCGAAAATAGGAATTAATTTAATCGAAATGAGTTCTGATAGATAAATATATTCATGTAAAATAGATGTTCAAATGAGAAAAAAATGAACTACTCTACTTATTACGTTCTAAAGTAGATCAATTCTAAAGAAACAATAGTTTCTTCTTTCAATTAAAGAAGCATGTTTTTAATCAAGAAACATGGTTTGTCTGTGTATTTTAGGTAATACAATTCTTCGTTTTCTTCTCATGGATCAAATCAAACATCTTGTTGTTGAGATCAAAAATGAAACAACAGCAGCAACAGAATTATCTTATAAAAATACATTAAATATACTTTCATTAATATTATTTTCAAGTAAACGATTAACTCATTTGATCTTTTCTGAATGGTCATCTGAAGAACCTCTAGCAATTTCAATTTTTAATCATCCAACAGCAAGTTGTGTGTCTTCAACTGTCACTCAATTAGAAA